AACAAATTTGCTTGTGCTTGACATGTATGTTTGATTGTGCTTATTTGATATATTTGACTAACATATGTTTGTTGAGTTTTGTTGGATTAAGATGCATAAATTGAGGGGGAGTTTTGCCATGCATTGCTTAAGGGGGAGTTTTTCAAAATCTTAAATGTTTCAAAGAAAATTTTTCATCAAGCAAATTTATATTTAAGTTTTGTCATATCAAAAAGGGGGAGATTATTAGCCTTAAGTTGATCCTTATTTTGAAATGACAAAACATTAAGCTAAATAAACTTGATCAAGATTTTGAAAAAGACTTATTTAGTACATGTTCTTAAGTTTTATATTTTGGTACTAAATAAATAATATGATTTTCAAAGTTTAAACAAACCTTTATTGGTTTCATATTTCTCAAACCAAATATATCTTTAAAGATTATTTATTTGAGCTTAAATAAAAGTCGAATTGTTGTTTTTAAAGTGAATTTATTCATTTTGTACTTAATACAATTTTAATAATATTGGTTTTGAGAAATGGATTTACTTAAAAAAGTTGTTTTACAAGAACAAAATTTTCCAACATTGAACTTATTTTATTTTTCTATATTAATTCACAAAGTTTTAATATTTGAATTTTATATGGTTGGAAAGCTATTTAAGTCTACTTTCTAATGGATCAAACAAAATCAAAATCCAAATTTTTTAAGAAAAGATTTTGAATTTTTACTAGACACTCTATAGTTGTCTAAAAACTACATAAAGGATAGATTTAAAAATTCACTATAATTCGTACACAATGAATTATATGATAAATTTTATATAGATAGAAAGCTCTTTAAGTCTAGTTTCTAAATCTTCAAACAGTTTATGATTTGGATTTGTATAGCTTAAGTTATGATCAAATTAGTAAGTAGAATACAAAATAAGAAACAACCACCCAGCTTGGACAGGATCGATCTCCTCAGGAAGGGATCTATTGTTTTTTTACCCATAAACAATTTTTTTGTTGAAATGGAAAAATGGATCGATCACCCTATGTAGGGAATCGATCACCCCCTTAACCAATCGATCCCTTACATAAAGGGATCGATCGAGTATGCATTTTTAAAGGCAAATTTGGCTTCCAAAAGTGAACCAATCGATCCCCTAACGGAAGGGATCGATTAGGTCTGGGCAAGATCACTCCAACGACTACTTTTTCATGTTTCCAACGGCTATTTTCTTCTCCCAAACACTTCCAATGCCTATTTTCTCAATTTTTCTATAAATTGGACACTCCAACACACCAAGAAAATTGATGAATCAAGAGAGCAAAAGCTAACAAGCTATATTTTCATTCTCTCAAAGAATCAAGAGTTTTTAAAGCTTCAAAGTCCATATCTTTGTATTTATTGTATACAAATTATATTTGTTGTTCATTCATCATTTTATTGTACTTAAACTTAGCAAACATTTAGCCTTAGAGAGGTTGTTCTATTGTTTGCAAAATTACCTTTGATATACAAGGGTGGAAGAAAACAAGAGGTATGGTATCCTCTTGATATTGTAAGGGTAGAGGTTGCTATCTAAGCCTTGAGAAAAAGATAGAGATTTAGTACAAGATAGGTTTGTATCTTGTAAGAATTTTTCTTCAATTAGTGGATTGAAACCTTAGTGTAGACAACTAAGAGCAAGGACGTAGGTGCCTTATGGAGAAGGATCGAATTTCTATAAATCATTGTGTTTGATTTCTTTATCCCTATCTCCTTACAATTTATTGTTGTTTATATTTGATTTTAGGTTCATTAATTGTTATTGTTTACATTATATTTTCATCAAAAGTGCTTATTGTTTTAATTTCTATTCAATTATATTGAAATCATTTATTTGGGAAAATTTTGGGGATCCTATTCACCCCCTCTTAGATTACCATCTCACCTATAAAGCTAATAGTATTAATTTATTAATTTTTTGAAAATTAAAAAATAAATAAATTGAATGATAAGTTTGTTTATCGAATAACTTCAAATAGTTATAACTATTTGAACAATTATCTATTTCAAATCATTATAATCCTTTGTTTTGCAATAAAATATTTATTTCTATTCATACAAAGTTATTCTGAATAAAATAATATTAGTTTATAAATATTCTAAAAAGTAATAACTATTTAAAAATAAATCTGTTTATTGAACAAGTTCAAATAGTTATGACTATTTAAACAATTATTTTTTTCAAATTGTTAAGTCATTTTTTGTCATAAAATAATTCTTTTTGTTCATACGAGTTTATTCAGACTAAAATAATATTAATTTATAATATTTCAAAAATTAATAAGTAAGAGATTTAAAAAAAAATTATCTATTCGTCAAACAACTTCAATAAGTTATGATTATTTAAACAATTATGTATGTCAAATCATTATAACATTTTGTTTTGTTATAAAACAAATATTTCTATTCATACATGCTTATTCGGATTAAAATAATATTAATTTATTAATATTTAAAAAATTAATAAGTAAGATATTTAAAAAAATAAATCTTTTTACCGGATAAATTCAAATAGTTATCACTATTTAAACAATTATCTATTTCAATAAGTTATGACCTTTTGTTTTATAATAAAACACTTGTTTCTACTCATTTAAGCTTATTTGGAATAAAATAATTCTAATTTATTAATAATTCTAAAATTAATAAATATGAGAATTAGAATATATAACTATTTACCAAAAAATTCAAATAATTATGACAATTTAAACAATTATTTATTTCTAATCATTATGATATTTTGTTTTGTTATAAAACAATTGTTTCTATTCATACAATTTTATATGGAATAGAACAATACTAATTTATTAATATTCCAAAAATCAATAAGTAAATGATTTAAAAAATAAATCTATCTATTGAACAAATTTAAATAGTTTTGACAATTAGAACAATTATTTACTTCAAATTGTTATGCTATTTTCTTTTGTTATAAAACAATTGTATCTATTTGTACAAGTTAATATGAAATAAAATAATATAATCTATTAATATTCGAAAATTAATAAGAAGAAGATTTAAAAAATAAATCTATTAACCAAACAAATTAAAAAAGTTATGTCCATTTTAACAATTACCTATTTCAAATAATTATGAACATTTGTTTTATCATAAAATAATTGTTTCTGTTCATACTAATATGTTACAATAAAATAATACTAATTTATTAATATTTAAAAAATTAATAAGTAAGGGATTTAAAAAATAAATTAGTTTACCAACTAAGTACAAATTATTATGACTATTAAATAATTATCTATTTAAAATCATTGTAACATTGTTTTGTACTAAAAATAATTATTTTTGTTCATAAAAATTATTTAAAATAAAATAATATTAATTTTTTTATATTTTAAAAATTAAATAGTAAATGATAAAAAAATAAATCTGTTTACCAAATAAGTTCAAATAATTATGATCATCTAAACAATTATATATTTAAAATCATTATGATATTTTATTTTGTCATAAAATAATTGTTTTTGTTTATATATGCTTATTTGGAATAAAATAATACTAGTATATTAATATTTCAAAAATTAATAAGTAAGAGATTTAAAAAATAAATATGTTTATTGAACAAGTTCAAATAGTTATGACTATTTAAACAATTATTTATTTCAAATTGTTATGACTTTTGGTTTTGTTATAAAATAATTATTTTTGTTCATACAAGTTTATTCAAAACTAAATAATTTAATTTATTAATATTTTAAAAATTAATAAGTATGAAATTACAAAAAAAAAATTGTTTTCCGAACAAATTCAAATAATTATGATCATTTGAATAATTATCTATTTTAAATCATTATGTATTATATTTTGTCATAATTTAATTATTTCTATTCATAAAAGTTTATTTAAAATAAAATAGTGCTAATTTATTAATAATCAAAAACTAATATACAAGAAATTTTAAAAATAAATCAATTTATTAAATAAGTTCAAATAATTATGACTATTTGAACAATTATATAGTTTAAATTGAGATGACCTTTTGTTTTGTGTTTAAACAATTGTTTCTATTAATACATGCATATTTCGATTAAAATAATAATTTATTAATATTTCAAAATTAATAAATAAAATTTTTTAAAAATAAATCTATTTACAGAATAAATTCAAATAGTTATTATTATTTGAACAATTATCTTTTTTAATTCATTATGACCTTATTTTTTTCATAAAACAATTATTTCTGTTAATTCAAACTTATTTAGAATAAAATAATATTAATTTTTTAAGTTTTTAAAAATTAATAAATAGAAAATTTAGAAAATAAAACTGTTTACATAACATATTCAAATAGTTTTGATCATTTAAACAATTATCTATTTTTAACCATTATGACTTTTTATTTTATTATAAAATAATTATTTATATTCATACGAATTTATTCAAAATAAAACAATACCAATTTATTAATATTTCAAAATTAATAAAAAAAGTTTAAAAAATAGTTCTATTTACTAAATTAGTTCAAATAGTTATATTTTTTATACAAATATTTATTTTAAATAATTAGTTTAAATAAACATTTTATTTTGTAATAAAACAATTATTTCTATTCATATAATTTTATTCAAAATAAAATAATATTAATTTATTAATATTTCAAACTTAATATATAAGAGAATTAAAAAATAAATATATTTTTTTAGCAAGTTCAACAATTATAACTATTTGAATAATTATTTATTTTAATTATTATGCTTTTTATAATAAAATAATTTTTTATTCATACATACTTATTCATAATAAAATATTTTAATTTATTAATATTTCGAAATGTAATAAGTAAAATATTTAAAAAATAAATTTATTTACTAAAAAAATTAAAATAATCATGTTTATTTAAACAATTATATATTTTAAATTATTATAATTTTTTGTTTTTTTATAAAATAATTATTTTTATTTATATGAATTTATTCAAAATATAATAATATTAGTTTGTTAATATTTTTAAAAAAATTATGTACTAAGCAAATTTAAATAATTCTCTATTTCGTAAATCGCGAGTCGCTAGTTGTTGTTTCCCTTCTGGCTTTTCCCAGCTCCCAGGGCAGTTACTCCCCCAACCCAAAAAAAAAAAAAAAAAAGCAGTTTATTTGGTTTCCGTACCATGGAAGACTCTGCTGGAGGTGCGTCACTCCCGTCGGGACCCGACGGAAGGAAGCGGCGCGTGACATACTTCTACGAGCCAACGATCGGCGACTACTATTACGGTCAGGGTCACCCGATGAAGCCCCACCGGATCCGTATGGCACACAACCTCATCGTCCACTACTCTCTCCACCGTAGGATGGAGATTAACCGTCCTTTCCCCGCCGGTCCCGCCGACATCCGCCGCTTCCACACCGACGAGTACGTCGACTTCCTCAACTCCGTCACCCCCGAGGCCATCTCTGACCCCACTTATTCTCGCCATTTGAAGCGTTTCAATGTTGGAGAGGATTGTCCCGTGTTCGATGGGCTTTTCGGTTTTTGCCAGGCCTCCGCCGGCGGCTCCATTGGTTCCGCCGTTAAGTTGAATAGAGGGGATGCCGACATCGCCATCAATTGGGCCGGTGGGTTGCACCATGCTAAGAAAAGTGAGGCTTCTGGGTTTTGCTATGTTAATGACATCGTGCTTGGGATTCTTGAGCTCCTCAAAGTTCACAGGGTAATATGATTTTTCTTTTTCTTTTTTTTGCTCCCTTTTCCAATTTCTGTTTTTATTTAGTAGCTAATGCTTCTATAGGAAATTAGAGTTAGTGAGCTTCCTTCTTTTTTTTTTTTTTTTGTTTCTTCTTAGTATGCTCCTGATGGTTAAATAAATGTCTGATTCTTTAGAATTGGTTTATACTATTTGATTTTGCGTATTGCCGTGTTCCACGGAAGTGACCCAGGTTTTTACTGTGATTCCAATAGCTGACTTTTTTAATGACTTGTACCGTATAGTTTTTACTTTTTAAAGAAATTTGGTTCTTCTCTTGTGATGTTGTGTTTTGTGACTATGGAAGGATGCATTTGATTTCTTTCACCGTCTAAACTGCTTTCATTTCACTCTCACGGAAATAATTGCTGAATTCTTTGATGGAATTGCAAGAACAATGAAAGTCAAGCTTAAATGTCTTGCCAAATGCAAACTCTTAATACTATATTATTTAGCGTTCCGCTCTGTGATTGTACTGGTGTTCTTGTCTTATTGCATAATTTGTTTAAAGACCTTATTACTTATTATGCAATCGCTAGAATTGTTGGAACTTCTTGTTTAAGTCATTCATTTCACGCTTACTTGCAAGGCATGCTACAACTAGAAGGGCAGAATCTTTGAAACTCATTCCCCTGTTTATTTTCCAAAAGTGCCAATATGTAATTATATTCATGATATGTTGTTCTTAATGGACGTGCATTTGTATGCTTGACTTCAATGTCCTTGTGCAGCGTGTGCTGTATGTTGATATTGATGTTCACCATGGGGATGGTGTTGAAGAGGCATTTTACACCACAGACAGAGTTATGACTGTGTCTTTCCATAAATTTGGGGATTTCTTCCCGGGGACTGGTCACATCAGGGATGTTGGGGTGGGCAATGGCAAGTACTATGCTTTGAATGTTCCGTTAAATGATGGGATGGAAGATGATAGTTTCCGGGGTCTGTTTCGGCCTCTCATCCAAAAAGTCATGGAAGTGTATCAGCCAGATGCAGTTGTTCTCCAATGTGGAGCAGATTCATTGTCTGGTGACAGGTTGGGTTGCTTCAACTTGTCTGTGAAGGGCCATGCAGATTGTCTTCGCTTCCTTAGATCTTTCAATGTTCCTCTAATGGTCTTGGGTGGGGGAGGGTATACCATCCGCAATGTTGCCCGATGTTGGTGCTATGAGGTCTCTTTCTCGCACAATTCTAGCAAAATGTTGTAAATATCATTGCTGATGAGATATTGTCCCTCTAACTTGCTTCTTTTGCTTCCTCTCAGACAGCTGTTGCAGTTGGGGTGGAGCCTGATAATAGGCTGCCTTATAATGAATATTATGAGTATTTCGGTCCAGATTATACACTTCATGTTGAGCCGGGCAACATGGAGAACCTGAATACACCTAGAGATATGGAGAAGATAAGGTAAGCTCAGACCTAACTTTTTTTTTTGTTTATGCATGGATTAACTAAACTTTGTGCTTGCTTGTTTTTGGAGTAATATTTGAAATATTAAGTAGGGTTGTCTATCAGCACTTTTAATACGATCACAAGCCTTACCTCATTCTTATAACCTGGTTGTGGTGGAATTTTAATTTGGTATTTTTCTTTTTCAGGAACACGCTATTAGAGCAGCTTTCTAGACTCACTCACTCACCCAGTGTACCTTTTCAAACAACACCATCTACCATCCACCCCCCTGAGGAGGTTTCTAGCGGACAACATATTTCTTCAATTGTTTTTCTGTATATTATCTATGACATTTTCTCTTTCTGTTTTTTATCTTACATGGAAGATTGGTTGGATGTAGGCAGAAGAGAACATGGATGAAAGACCAAAACCACGCATATGGAATGGTGATGATTATGAGTCAGACCCTGAAGATGATGAGAAACCTCTACGCAGATTCTCAAAATCTGATGTCAAGCTGCCTACAACAGATGCTGAAATGAGGTAAGGGTTTGTCTTTTGACTGTTTATCCTAGAAATGCTACTATTTCTTGTCCAAGATTACATTGATAACCATGGTTCAAGGTAACTTATTTTGTTTGGGTATTCTTTTACCATCATTATTTTGTGAGGTAAGTCCATTATTCAGAGTTCATCTAAGCTTCTTGCATGCTGGCCCCTTCAGTAGGCTTTGATTTTTGTATTTTTTGGTTTCAATATGTCTCTCTTTACTGTTTTAGGATGTCAAGTACTTGGTTAAGAAGAGGAAAATTTCTGGGTTTGGGAAATGTAACATGTATAAGTAATTTAGTAGTTTCCTGCGTACAACACCTGCTTCATCCTTTGCCTTGTAAATGGATCATCAAAAGAAAGTCCTCTTGCTTTATGTGTGAGCATCTATCATGGCCAAGACATTTGACATGTTGGTCAGGACGAGGGTGAAAGGGCTCTAGTTTTTACAGATGTCTTGAATATGGAAAATGCTAGTTTTTACTTGCTTCTGATTGATAAACATATTTTGAAAAGCCTTAACTTTGTTGATTTCCGAGTTGTATTAGTTTTAAGTTTTTGCAAATTTCCTCAGGGATGTATCAGAAGATCTGAAAGAAGTGAAAGCAGAAGAGCAGCCACCGTCTTGACACTGAAGGGACTTCTTAGCTTGTAGACTTCATTGTACTTCATCCTTGTCTTTGTATAATTTAAACTTGTGATCTTTGTTCCAGTTGAGCGTTTTTTGACATTTCCAGCAAGCATACTTTGATCCTTTTGATGAGGTATTAGACTAGTAATTTTTGGTTACTGATGTCCCTACCTTTTGTTTGGCAGTATTATGTTTTAGATTAGATGTGTTAGAATCAAAGATACAATGAATACACAGACATAAGAGTATCAATATAGGATGATATCTGAAATACTTCATGACTTTTCTCAATCTAAGGTTGGTTGTTGTATTTTGCCATATACATTGTGTAATTGGCACCCTCTCTTCTTTTTCTTCTAGTTTGTAGTCCCTGATGATGAGGAACTGAAACTGATCAGGATCAACATCCACTATGCCAATGGCAATCGCCAAAGAGGTGTTCTTATGTCTGCTCCATTACAAGGATCGTAGTGGAATATTTAGTTTTTGTCAGGAGCATAGGATAATCTAACAGTAGGGAGTAACAGAATGTCAATGGATAGAGTATAGGAGAATAGAACATTTTTCATTCTCGAATTTTTATATTATATTTATTTTTATATTTATATCCAATAAGTATTTCAAATTTATTTTTATTTTTATCTCTACAGATATTTAATGAATGTAGATAATCTTTGCATAATTTTTTTAAAATATAAAAATAAAAATTTATTTATTTTTATTTTATATATTTAAGTAATTTTTTATAAATATATATAATATATATATTTTTAATAAAAATATATTAAAATCATATTCATCTATATTATGATTTTATAATATAATATTTATTTTTATTTAAATAAAAAGTTAATTTTTTAATAAATACGGATAAAATTAACATACTTATCACGGCTTTAAAAAATGTGAACTAATAATAAAATTTTTAAAACATCCTCCAACGAGCGACCACCCAAATCCAATTCTTTACCCTCCGGAATTGGATCGACGGTTTAGAAAAATCTGTTGATGCATTTTTCTATTTCTTTTTTTTTTTTTTTTTGTGAGTATTTCGCCTTATAAATTCCATAACCATGCCCATACGCCGTTACAGTTACAGGATAGCTCGACGAGATAATGTATACACTTCGACTAGGCACTAGGCAGTAGCTACTAGCTTGAGAGACGAAGCATCGAGACCAGAGATATCGAACAAAGTAATGATGTCCCAAGGCCCAGGGCTAATTACCTACCAAAGTCGATCGTTTTTCTCCTACCCAATTCAAATCACCTGCCGCACTCTAAAATCTTCCCAATCAGCGCACCATTTCTCCCTCATGACACCTGCAAAACCAAAACAGATCCATCTCCGTCTACCACCCCCGAAGTCCGACCAAACCCATCAATACAAACCCCAAGCAAAGAATCAAGACGACGGCATCCCAATCGACGACGTCAAAATCATCGCCAAATTCAAAACCAGACACAACTATATCCGCGTTTTAGAAGTTTCTCGAAGAGCTGACCATCCTTTTGCAGGCTCTAGGCTCCTCCTTCTCGATTCCCCTGGGAACATCCACAGCATTTCATTCCTCTTCAAATCACTCACCAACACTTACTTCGACGTTTTCGCCACTTTGCCTCCCATTTTACCCCCCGGCCCCGTTGGCATTCTCGGGTTCGGGGCGGGTTCTACTGCCCGTCTGATGCTTGAATTATACCCAGAATTGATAATCCACGGGTGGGAACTTGACCCATCTGTTATTGCAGTTGGAAGAGAATATTTTGGCCTTGGAAGGCTTGAAAAACAATACCCGGATAGGCTTTGCATTTACATTGGAAACGCATTGAAGGCTAGCATTAAAAACAGGTTTGCAGGTATTTTAGTCGATTTATTCTGTAAAGGAAGTTTGATACCAGAGCTTCAAGATGCGAACACGTGGCAGAAGTTGAGGAAGAGGCTGAGAAAAGGCGGGAGGATCATGGTGAATGTCGGGGGCAGTTGCGTGGAGGCTGAGGATGAACGGAGAGAAGGGAAGGTGGTGATGGAAGAGACTTTGAAGGCGATGCATAGGGTTTTTGGTGACAAGCTTTTTGTATTGAATCTTGGGAGTAGAAAGGATGATAGTTCCCTTGCTTTAACGGGTGAATTGGCGGTGCCGGATCTTGATGCCTGGAAGAAGGCGCTTCCGCCTTCTTTCAAGGGTTACGTTGATATGTGGGTTCCATTTCATGGTTGATGTGATACTGATATACATATACATATATATAAACACACATATACACGTGTGTGTTTTGTGAACACTGAACATCAATGCCCATCTTCTGTTTGTGTTTATGCCTAACTCACATGCCCGTTACTCATTTTATGTTATGTGGTTTTATGACACTACTGCTTTTGTTCATAGGAGGTTCAAGATTTTTGTTCAATGAGCTACTTCTACTTTTTGTTCATGACACCGCTACTTTTGGTTCAATGAGCTACGTTTTGTTTATGTTAGTTAATATGGACGTTCAGTTCAAGATAAGATTATATTGTTTTATTTCAACGATGTCAGGAGTGATTGATCACGTAGCTTATTTGTGGCATTTTGAATTTGTTCGGTTATAAGTAGAACAAGTGTTAGAACGACGCATGCATGTTTCTCAGGCTTACAATTATTAAAATTCCACTGGAGCTTTGAGATTTATTCCATTGTCACTGTGCGTCTGTTTACTCTTGACTTGGGATGTAAAATTTGAGCAGGCTTAAAAAAATGTAATTTCAGAATGTGAAAACTTGGGACTGATTAGTGACGACTTCCTAAGAAATTACCTTCATGCTTGATCTAATCACTTTATGTTTTGCGGAAAATTGATTGAAATATCAATTAAGTCAATTTGATTTGTTTTCTGAAGCAATTAGAAGCAGAGAAAGGAGCGGCTAGAACTTAGAATGCAGCCTGAGCAACAATTAAGAAATAGCCTTTCAGTGGCTGCTAGAAGTTTGTTTGTTCTATGGAACTAAGCTGTTCTATTCAATCGAGCAATAGAAGTGTAGTGCTGGTTTTTCCCTGTTTGGGCTGATGGCAGTAATCTTTATCAAGAATATCAGGAATCTTATGGATTGGAATACAAACTACAATGTAAAGCATTGAATTTCAACCTATATGGATGAATCACTTGACCCAAAAGCACCATAAAAAATGAATATCATGTCCCAAATGGTGGTATGTTCGCAACCATGTAGTATTGTCTCACTGAAAACGTTGGCCATGACATGATTATAGAAGCAATTATCTTGAGCTGTGCGGAAATAAATCATACCATTGTATTATTGTATTACTTGGACAGTTTCATTACACCTCGAATGATAATTTGTAGTTTGTTTTTCTGACCAAAATTTGTGTGCTTCCTTCTCTTCTTTTTGGCAAAGACAAATGGTGGATTCTTCTTTCCATGGTATGTAGATTTCGGTTGTTTGAATTACCAGCCATGAATCTTAAGCAAAGTTTCTTAAAACTTCCTACTCCCAGTATGTTTCTTGAATTTAAGCATTTTGCATTGTTATGCTGATCTTGCTTGTTCTCATCAAATACGTTAAGATGGAGATGGTTGTTGATGACTTGGGAGGGCATTTGACGTTATGATTATCTAGATCTGCAACAGTAGCTGAATTTTCTTAACTTCCCTGACTCAAAGCTTTCAACTATGTATATTTGATGTAAATATCTACAAACTAAGATCCCTATAATATGATCAGTTCTATAATTGGCTCTCCATATTTCTTTATTAGGCTAATTGAAACAGATAAATCAAACCGCAGTGCTGATGCAATATTTCCACACTAGAATTTGATTTGAGTCCAATTTTTTTTTTATTATCCTTTAATGCACAATAACATTTTTCAAATGCTGGGATTAATGCATACAAACTGTTCTAGCTGTATTGAGACTACACATTCATTCAGGAGGTCCAGCTTGACATGCATGGATCTGCCTCCATATTCTTCAACATGGGCCTAGGCTGATGGATTTAATCTAAAAGTTAAACCCCAACCCTTCCAAAATCATTCCAGCTGTAACGTAAGAGAGAGAAGGTAGCAAATTTAAGCCTTCTTCGGAGCAAACATTAAAGAATCTATGCTTTCAGCGGTGATTCTAATCAATGGATGATAATACTGCTAAATACAATAAAACTTAAACATTCTAATCCATAGGCCGCTGTTGGGTGAAGTACGTGAAGATTTGATCTAGAACTGAATGGGGATTTTGCCATTTTGGTCTCGTGTCTGCTACGTCTGGTAAGAGAGAGTCTCGTACGGTACAAGGTTTGTGTCTCTCAAAGATTGTGTAGAGAGTGTCCATCCTGACGAGTTCAGGATTTTATTTTAAGTTTGTTGTTTAGTGAATTGTCATTTTTTAGGATATGTTTTGAGGATGGAGGGACAAGAAGGGATGTGGGTGAAACTTTCGTTGACAGAAGCGGAGAAGGGAAAAGTGGTAGTAGAGAAGGAATGGATAGAGGAAATAGAGGTAGAAGGGAGGACGTGTCTGCTGGGCAAAGTCCTGACTAAGAAAAGTGCAAATGTAGAAGCGATGAAAATGGTTTTGTATAAAGTAGGGAAACTCGTTAAAGGTCTACAAATAAAGGAAGTTGGGAAGAAAGTCTATTTATTCCCTTTTAAGGATGGTGTGGAGAAGGATAGAGTCTTGATGATGCAACCGTTAACGTTAAACCAAGCTATAATTGTTTTTACAAAGTTTGAAGGATTAGTATCACTAGATTCTTTGGAGATGAATTGCAGTCCCTTCTGGATCCAGAAGTCTTAGGATTAGAGTCGAGCTTAATATAGATGTCCCATTAAAACGTGGAACTATGGTAGCGGTCAAATGTGGTGGCAAAGCACTGGTTATGTTTCGATATAAAAGATTACCAAATTTTTTGCTTTGTCTGTGGTAGATTAGATCATCAAGAGAATGAATGTGATAGGGCAATATAGATGTAAAAGGAGATTGGAGCGATGATAAGGGAGTATGGCCGATAGATACGTGTAGAAAATCCAAAGATATGGTCTATAAAGGCTGAAGGTTTGAGCATGAGTGAAGACAGTAAGCATGAGTCATCCTCTTCTGAAAGGGCAGCCAATTCAACGGAGAAGTATAAGCGAACGACAGACCAAGCAATTGACCAACAATGGCGCATGGATGACAATCTGGATCAACAGATTGATGATGATACGTGCATAATCAGGGGCAAGATTTTTGCAGATAATGGTGATAGAGGAGTTGACCGAGTTATCAAGAAAGGAAAAAAAATGGTGCTAGGGATACGATGGTGGATATTTCCAATTTAAATATTTTAAAAGGAGATATGCATGAGGAAGATAGGGTAAGACAGTTTTCAGGGGAAAAAGCAAAAAATGCAACAGCTGAAGTTAATATTGGTGGGGTAATGAGTATAGAACTGGGTGATGGGCCTAAATGAGATGAAGGTAAGGTTAAGGCTAGAGCAACCCGTGGCAAGTGGAAGAGGGCAATAAGGAAAGGTAATGAGAAGGGTGAATATAGAAATGTAAAGATTAGTGAAAGATCAGTTTGTAGTAAAAGAAATGCCATAACATTTGAACTGATAGAGTAGGGGTTGCAAGAGGTGATAGTAAAAAAACAAAGAGATGATATAAAGGTGAAAGGAAGTATGACTCACTTTGGATGCATAACGATAGAGGTTGGTACAAAGGGCCAACCCTGCAAAGAACAATGAACTATTAATATGGAATTACTGAGGGTTGAGGGCCTATCGATCAGTTCCTGAGATGACCAAAATGGTTTGTAGTTTAAACCCTCAAGTGGTGTTTTTTTGTGAAAACTAAAAAAAGAAAGAGTGAGATGAATTGGCTGAGAATAAGATGGGTTTTGATAGATGCTTTGTGTCAGAATGTATAGGTAAGATTAGAGGTTTGGCAATGATGTGGATGGATAGTTTGGATGTTAGTGTACTGTCTTACTCTAGATGGCATATTGATGTTCGAATATTAATAGATGCAAGGGCACAACCATGGAGGTTTATAGGTTTTTATGGAAACCTCGACACTTGAAGGAGGAAGGAATCATAGGACTTACTAAGGAGATTAAAAGAAATGTCAAAGTTATTGTGTATTTGTGCGGGTGACTTTAATGAAATTTTGTCGAATAATGAGAAAATGAGAGGTGCACATCACCCTACATGGCAAATCATTGAATTTAAAAAGGTGATGAATGAATACGAGCTACAAGAAGTTTCAGTGAGAGGTCCAATGTTAACATGGTAAAGAGGAAATGGTGTTAGTATAGTTTTTGAATGACTAGATCATTGTCTAGTTACATCAAGTTGGTAGGACATTTTTTGTTTTCATGGGAAGAGCATTCAATGTCAACATTAGATCATCTTCCATTGTTACTGCATGTAATGGATAGACCATCTACATCTTTACCAAAAGGAAGGAAAGTGTTTAGATTTGAAAATATATGAGCTCAACATACAGATTATGACAAGATTATACAGGAAAGATTGGGAAGAATACAACCAAAAAGTTTGCAAAAGGTAGAAAGTCATTTGAATGCATGCCAAAAGGAGTAAAAAGTGTGGAATAAAGAGGTTTTTAGGATTGTTCACATGAAGAAACAAGATAAATAGAGGGAATTAACAAAGCTGCTAATGAAAAAGCATGTTGGTAATCATAAGATAGAAGTAGCTCACTACAAAAGTGAACTCATAGGTTTGTTGTTATAGGAGAAAATGATATGGTGGTAACATTCTAAAGTCACATGGCTTAAGAAAGGGGATAAATTATTACAAATGAAAAAGATTAAGCTTTCAATCCTTGCATGACAGATAGAAAGGCTCTTGCCTTTTTTCTAAGCTTATTTCATTTCATTTGTCATTTTTTTTTACAAATTGAAGTCTGCAAAATCTACAACATGATCTTCTTTTTCTTCTTATTATGTTTTAAAACCATACCTCCATTTGCCTAAGTGTCAAATTCAATTACTTTGCCAATGCTAACTTTTGCTTTTGCCCATCATACAAAACCAACATTAAATCTAAATTGCAAATTCTGAAACTACTTTTACCAAAGAAGTCGATGACTGAAATGCCACTAATCAAAATAAGAGTGCTATGCTCCTTGAAGTTTTTTCAAGCTTTAAAGACTGTTTCTTTGAAAGCCTAAGCTTTTTCTTTGAGGCATCGCTGGCAATACCATCTTCATCATCATTGGCACGAGAGCAAGATGCTCTTTTAGCTTTAGTTTCATTACTTACAGGGTTTTTCTCATTTCTCTTTCCACTGTGTTGTTGGGCGACGACAACCCACCTTTCTTATCGTAATCAACCATTATTGGTGCTTGGTTCACATCAATTCTTCCAAGAAATGATCTTGTATCCAAGTGTAAATTTGCATCCAAATTATGAATCACAAAACTCATTTCATCAACCTGATCAAGTTAGCTTTATCTAAATGTCAGCTTCATAATTACAATAAAATAGATGACTATTTATGAATATTGTGTTGCTATGAAATATGACATGACAAACCTAATAGGCAACAAAACAGTATTGTTCAAATTTCAAGTTCACTAACCAGTAATCTAGATGTGGGACAAATGTTATAGTGTTAAGCTTAGGTTATCGACATTTTGACTATGTAAATATCAAGTTTAGCTTCTTTTCAAGCTTAGGACCTTTGGCTTACTTAACTTCTTTGATGTTTAAGGTAGAAGATGAATTGTTTGAATGGATGGTTATTAAAAGCAATAACTATAAAGAATTGCTGGTTGTCGGTGAGGTTGGAGTAAGAGCTGCAATTGGAATAGCTCTTATCATTGACTTTGAAAGAATGGTTATTAGAAGTAGCGTGAATCTCTTCACTTTTCATCTTTCAAAGGCAAAGTAAAAAGAGGAAAAAATGAAATAAAGGTGATTTAGATCTATGAATTTTTAGACAACTATAAAGAAATTTAATTGGATAGATGTAATAAAAGGTTTGAAAGGAAGAAATAATGAAATTTTTGGATAAAAAGATGTAGACAAGTAGTAGTACAGTAGCAAGAATCTGAGTTTTGAAGATAGGGTGGAATTGAAATTTTAGAAAAAGAAAAAAAATTGATTGATCTTTTAAAAAGAGAAATGAATAACTGATTGCTGGAGTAAAGTAAAATAGTGAGTCCCACTAGAAAAAAGCTAGCTTAGCTCTTTTCATGCACCATAACGGCACGTTTCTTTCACATTCAAATTTTCGTTGAAAAAAATCCTATATTGTTATAAGTCGATAACGTTTAATCTTTATTTGCATAAATTAAAACATTTAATCTTGAGTTGAGCAACCACATAAATATTTAATTCCAAATTTAGCATTTAGCCATAAAAATACTATTTTTTCCATGCTACCGTATCTCAACGCAAGAGGAATAATCTTATCATAAAGCTACAAGATAAAAGTAGAATGTGGACAGCTAATAGATCTAAAATTGAAAGGATAATTTTGGACTATTTTTAGAACATTTTTTATACATCTTATTCTACTAATATGGGGAAAACGATTGATAATATAGATAGAAGGATCACAGATGAGAAGAATATGCGATTTGACATGGGCTTTTCTAGTGAAGAGGTAAAGAAAGCACTATTTCAATTAAATCATAATAAGGAGCCTGGATCAGATGGGATGAATGCTTTCTTTTACCATAATATTGGCATATAATGAGAGAAGAAATAACTAGGGTAGTAGTGCGATTTTTGAATCAAGGGGATGTCTTTTTCAATATCAACCACACTAATATTGTGTTAATACTGAAAGTGGGTGCACCTAGTCCTATGATGGAATTTCGACCAATTAGTTGATGCAATGTGCTGTATAAAATCCTCTTGGAGATGCTAGGAAACAGATTGAAACATATATTACTCATAATTATCGGACCTCACTGAAATGTATTCATTATGTTATAATGATTTTAGGGACTGTTAGACCAAAAAAATTTAAAAAGTTTCAAAACAAAGAGAGTCACCACTAATTTTTTTGAAAGTGTGATTCACCACCTAAAACGTTTATCTTTTTAATAAAATAAAAAAATTTAAGATTTATCAAAAAAATATTTTGAGTCTTCAAAAATAGAGTTAGATTTGGGAATTCAATTATGTGTGGAGAATGATTAGTATTTCCTTAATGCCCATTCAAAAATGGTACCAATTAATCATGCGTTATCTTTGGTTTTGAATAAACAATATTTTTGGTCTTCGAAAATAGAGTTGGGTTTAGAGGATCGATTACTCGTAGGGAAAGATTAGTGTCACGGTCCTAAATCTCACATCGAACATAATAAGAGGGTCACTGGGGTATAAAAGGGTTCACACCACCTCTTCCTTGTGAGGTACCTTTTGTACGATAAAACCGTGAGGCCAGGAGGGTCAGAGCGGATAATACCTCACAAAGATGTAAACCATGGTGGTTAGGCTGATCCCAAACACCGGATGAGTGGATGCCCGGGTCACAGAGCTACACGGGTTCGGAGCTTAAGTCTCAATCCGTGACAAGTGATATTAGAGTCAACTCTAAACCGTTTGATCCACGCTAAGTGCCTCGAATGAGGTAGGTAGGGTGGCCAGCCTCCATGACGAGGGCATCATGAGATTGGGTAGGGGAGAATGTCACAGACCTAAAGAGAGTCTTGAATCCCACATCAAACATAATAGGAGGGTCACTGGGGTATAAAAGGATTCACACCACCTCTTCCTTGTGAGACGCCTTTTGTAGGATAAAACTGTGAGGTTAGAGGGGTCAGAACGGATAATACCTCACTAGGGTGTGAACCGTGACGGTTAGATTGATCCAAGGCGTCGAATGAGTGGATGCCCGGATCCCAAAGTCGCGCGGGTTCAGAGCTTAAGTCTCGACCCGTGACATTAGCACATCCACAATACTCGTTCAAAAACAATACCAATTAATAGTGCGTTATTTTTTGTTTTGGATAAAAATTATTTTAATTTGAAATTTAATAATCATCTCCTTTACAAGTGAAAAAGAAAATCAATTTTTACTAAAAACTTTTATTTAGGAATATTATGAAAATCTATAAGTTAAAGAATTATCTCAAAATTTCTCAACATTTAGGCAAAATATAAAGATAATTCTTTCTACTTAAGATTCATCATGACATTGCTTTTAAAATGAAAATAACATTCTTTGCAGGTAATAATTGTTGGTGACTCTCTAATATTTAGGTAAAGCACCAAAAATTATTTCCCTCGAAATATTATTTTGATTTTATTTTAAAATTTCACATTTTAAA